ATTGGTCAAGTCTTACCTTCATGACATAATTTCGAACAGTTCTTCAAGCCGATCAATGGGTTTTCTTCATCTGGCTTGGTAAAGAATATTCCCACCTACAGTTGTCATTACCGAAGCAGCTAAGGATTGTGTGTAGCCCTGTGTTATTCACTTGAAAAGAATCAAAATTAACGTAAATAGTGGCTATATAAGAGGAGGAACAATGAACTGTATAGTACTAAAAATGACGACCTGCTCTTTTGCCAGCCATCGCATTGGAAATCGCAATTATTGACGGCACCAAAAGTCCCTTCTTTCCCGTTTAGTTTGGTGCAGTCATCCATATCTTCCAAACAGAGTGCGAGGGCTTCCTCGTAATTATGCTGGACTAAAAAACATCAATGCACTGCACGCGAAACATGCTTTTTTATTCAGATTAAGACTTATTACAACTTTGAAAAGGCGACCGCAATGCTATCGAGTGAAGTTCTTTAAATAAAAAGACATTTTTAACTCAGAGTAGGCGAATGTTTAAATAGATGTGGCCGAAAAAGACTGGATGCAACAGGGAGAGGCATCTTTCACCACAAAATGCCGCATTCGAACACATATCATTCGTCGCTTTTTAATTTTCTCAGAAAATATCTACGAAGTTGGAATAGATCTGTTTATTCAAGGTCTATCGGCCCAGACGGAGAATTTTGTCTATGAATATTTGGGCCAAAGTCCATCATCAACAGCGGGTAACCGCTTAAAATTCATTAACTGTCGGCAAACAATTAGTAGTATACTTAAGGGTAAGCTGATATCATACAAACAGCACAAGTACTAACCAAAAGCCCGGTAGCTGTGCTGGTAGTATGGTATCACCTTACCTAAAGAATACTACTATCTACCTGTCGGCAGTTAATGCATATTACGTGGATACCCGGTGTGGATGATTGATTTTGGCCCAAATATTCATGCGGAAAATTCTCGGCCTGAGCCTATAGACCTTGAATAAACTGACCTACTCCAGCTTCCTGGATAATTTCTGAGGAAATTAAAACGCGACATTTTCTAAATTTGAGTATCTACCAGAAAGCAGACAGGGAATGCTGGGGAACCAACGGACGAGCCGAACCCCTCGCAGCTGCGCCATACAGCAGCAGAATATCGGCGAAACACGCGTGTATGGGCATTGGTCTATTATCTGTGCTGTTAGTATTGTATGAACTCACCCTAAAGTACACAGAATCTGTGAATCAAAAAAAATCTTGAATTCGTCTCTTCCGCAACGCTCGTAGGATTTGCAATTTATTTTGCTGCCTTCACACTGGTACGGTCAATTTCTCGTCTAGTCCTCCGCCGTCTATAATGTAGAAAACGTTTCAGTAACATCATTCTGCATGTAAAAGATTGATTGCATACAGAAAAACGTCTGCCGAGAGATATTACTAGAGGAGGATGCACCCATATGACGAAGATACTAATCATTTTGCCCTCGGTTAAATGAACAACCAAACAATTAGGGAATTATGGATTCGTCTTTGCTACAAATATCTTACCATCTTGTTCTCCCTTTTAGATCGAAATGCGGTCGTCAGTTGCCTAACGTTTCGGCCACACTAGTAGACAGTGGAAGGTGATGTCGGCTCCTTGTCGACATCGTGGAAGATGAAACAATTTATTCCATGCATTCGGTCACCGTGAGCGTTTTTTCGTATCTCCTTGACAGCAATGTTGAACAGTTTTATTGGATTGAATGATTGATTACCGGTCTGTTCTGTGAAAATTATGGCATACTGCTTCCTCTGCTTGCGAGGACTGGCAGCATACGAGTGAGAAGTCGGAACGGATGCCCAGTTTTGTTCCTATAAGGCACAATAATGACCACCTTCTCTCCTTCCGAAGTTAACACCAATAGCGAAATTTCTTGTTTCAGCACATCGTCGTTTACTTCACTTAATTCAGAATTGTACGATGGTTGTTGAGGTTTGGATGAGATGCTGGTATTGACTACACTGTCTGTGGGACTATCCAGTGTTTTTTTGTAAATAAAAGGACGTGTTTCCAATAATTGAAGTTTCATGATATTTATTTGCCACAAGCGTGCATTGGAACAGTAATGACAAAATAACAGAAGGGTGGTCTGGACGACTACCAGAGATGCGCAGATAAACAAACGGCGGCTGTTACCCCGGTTATTATGTAGATTGTTGCTGAGCTCTAATAACGATCGTCAAAAACCTGCTTTTATATCCGAAGTAACCTGAGGTCTGAAATATTGCACTCAACTGCAAATCCAGGGTGCAGAATGACGGAGAGGCCGGTGGTTGCAAATTCGCGATACTACTGGCTAATGAGTTTAACGCCCCATTAACCCTGATAGAGCTACGTTCATCGTCTTATCAGCTCAGTGAGCATGCAAATTGCTCCATTTACACACCGGTTCAACAAAAAACATTTAAAATGCTGCGCTTTCTTTCACAACGGCATTCAGATTTTTATCTCAGGTAATTTATTTCGTTTTTAAACGTACGATAATTCTAAATGAAATGGCGCTATCAGAAAATCTTGCGTAATAGTATCATTCTTTCGGTAAAAAACGTGGTTGATTAACAATGCAATTTTTCGCCCTTTCAGCTTTCGTTATTTTCCATTCTTAGACTTTCCGTTTGAAGGCGAGTGGTTTTTAAGATCACCTCTCAGACGTTACATGTTCTGTACCATTCAGTAAAAATTAAGGGAAAATGTATGATGTTAGTGATAATTCACTTCAAATTTTTCATGTCAAAATAACTGCTCCTGAAGTAAAGGGGTCGTTAATAAGCGCGGCATTACTATGCGTCTAGGGTCTTTAACGTATGGGGACATTTATTTAAATCAGGGTAATGCAACTAGGTGCGATGTCCGTAATGCAAACAAAATCCTAAGTGAACGGAAAACCCTACGGTGCTTGTGTGCACGAATTCCATACGTGCATAATAAATAACGTGATCAGGGTAAATAGCACAAGATAGCAGGGTAATATTAGGGTTGCACCGACAAAACGGACATCCATGTGGGGGAGTTGACAAAGTGTTTAGATTGGCGCCAAAATGTGGTGAAGTGTTAAGGCATTCAGTTGAATTTCACTCTGTGGTATAGGTGCAGAATCTGTGACATTGTACATGACCAAACCAAGATTAGCATCCTGTTTCTTAGGGGGGATGCGCCAGCCAGTGAGCCGTGAAAGCAAACTTTCGTGCTGAGCGTCTATTTCAACATGGCTGTTAAGGTTGTTGCTGTTGTTGTTAGAGCGCCAACCTTCGTGAAAATCTTTTGAATATTTGGTTTTGGCACGGGCGATCGCCTCATTTCCCTCCCTGTTGAAGCGGTGACCATACTTAAGGGCGTGCGCAAAAAACCGAGACAAGGGGTCCTATCTGTTTCCATAGGCTTTTCCGGCAACACGGAGACAAGGTCATCTTTGTAAAAAAAAACTTGTCTCAAACTCCAGAAACAACCAAAAGCCTCAACGCTAACAGAGCCAGTGTGTCAAAGTAATTTTATTACATCACCTCCACTTCCGGAACCTCCGAAGAGGTCGCTCGACTAGACGAGTGAGTCGTGTAATACCGTCTGTGAGGGACCATCAAACGTGGTCTGCATTCTGATTTGATATAATTACAAATAGTAGGCCTTTTGCAAAATCCTCTAGTACTCGTAAATTTTCTAGTCAGTGATGCCGACGCGTTATCAGACGAAATGAACAGAGGAAAAAGAGAGATTAACAGACTTGGTCAGCTAGCGTGACGGGGCACACAACGACAAACAGAGAGCTCATGCGTCGGAGAGGTGGGTGCCGCTTTGGGGCGGGGAAAAAGAAGGAGGAAACGTCGGAGCGCCCTGCGTTTGTGTCGGAGAAGGAGCGGGGAATTGTGCATCAGTGTGGAATGCGGGCAAATGGTCGTTGATGCGGGATGCGGTTAAGGGGCAGGGCGTCGGTGTTAGAGGTGCAAGGGGTTTCGGTTGTTGTTCACTGTGTCGCAAGGCGAGGGGGATGACGAGATAGCATACGTCTATTTGGCCAAGTGAGGCTTAGCAGCCACCATAATGAACGCCAAAATGATGAAAAGGGGCTGATCTGCACGAGAAACTACAGTTTAATCTTCGCACGACCAGCGACGACGGAATGTGTACGACGGTTTCTAACCTTTCTAAAATTGGGCCGAAATAAACCTCCTGTCAATTAGTATAAGATACATTCACACCGTTGCTGCAAATGCGGACTTCCTAGCCAACCGTGAATCCCTCGATATGACCTTCGAAACCCATGTTGACTCGCTGGCGACACTGATATCCTTCAACAAAACAAACACCGCCAAGTTCTATCGATCGGAGTGGAGAAAAAGGTTGCGATCGCTGGGAAAAGATGAAAAAATAGTAAACATGACTAACGACAAAGGAGGGGAAATCGTTATCATGAAGGTTGGCTGTGTCAACAAGGCAAACGAAATATTCGATTAGGAAGCCTACGCACCATTCGTTGTAGACCCATTGAAGTAGCCGGGCGCGTATATCAAGAAGAAAACAAAAGAAAACAACCTTGCCGAATCAAGGTTGGTAAGCCCCGATGACAGCACAAATGTGCCATCTATGGAAGGAGGAATTACCACAGAGGCTTCAGTACTTCGTTGGCAGACGAAATGAACAGTGGTGGAAGTGAGTTTAGCAGACTAGGGCATCTGGCGTGACGGGGCACACAACGACAATCACACAGGTGGTGCGTGAGAGGGATGGGTGCTGCTTTTGTGCGGGAGGAGGGAGGGAGGAACAGTTAGGGTGCCCTGTGTTTGTGTCGGCGAAGGAGCGGGAAATTGCGTATCAGTGTAGAATGCGGGCAACCATTCGTTGATGCGGATGAGGTTAAGGGGCAAACCCTGTCGATCGAAGACGAAAAGGAGTTGCGATCGTTGAAGACAGATGACGAAATAATTATAATATCTATCGACAATGGTGGGGCATTCGTTATCGTCAACAAGGCTGACTGTGTCAACATGACAAAGGAAATCGTCTATGACCGGGATGCCTATGCACCATCCGTTGTAGACCCGGCGAAAAAGCAGGCCGTGCATATTAAGACGAAAGCGAATGATCTTGCGGGATGGAAGCCCGTAAGCCTCAATGACAGCATATGTGTGGGCCTTATTGACCTCAGTATCGCACGTACGTACAGTATTCGAGAACTGCACAGGCAAGGATTCCGCTGACCGTCAGAGCGCCTCTTATTGGATCCCCTTCTAACAACCTTGCCGAATGGTTATACATAAAATTAAAGCAACTCAATTATGGATTGCAATGTGGCATCACTAATTCACAGAGTACCGTACATATTATTGAAACCCTTGAAGTAAGTTCTGAAAAATATATCCTATCGTGAGTTCTTGTTGCCCTGTTTTTTTCAATTCTGCATGACCTGACAATTGACGGCGTAGCGTAATGTCTAAAGGAATATCCCATTGGCATTCCAAAACAGCATTTTCTAGACATTTTTCAGCGAGAACGCACTATTCACATCACGCACATGTTTATGTGTAATGATTAAACGGTACTCCCTTTTGTGTTATGGGACTCACTTGTCCTGTTGTACCTTGGGGCTCTCAAGTAGAGTCCCAAGAGCAGCCACAAAGCGGCGCATACAATAGGCAGAATAACATTACCAACAATGATAGGAGAGACTGAAATGTTCATTTCTGGTTATTGGCTGTCGTCAGTCAGTCATACGCATCCCCAAAGCGTGGAACAACTGTGCTCGATCCCGCGACCTGTTGGTTATTACTCCAACACCCAGAAATTCTGAGTCACGGGGTCGTTCTTTCATCGGTGGCGGTCGGATATATACAATAGTAGAAGTGCACTCACCGGTCTCCATTATCTTTTTCTGTAATGCTATTCTACCCATCATCAGATATAAGAAAGCAGAAACAGGTGGTTGCTGCACAAGGGGCTGCGGTATTTATAGGATGCAGTAGCCAATGTACCTCATACCTATGAACATTCACAGCTCCCCCCTTCATCAGGGATCCTCACACTTGGTGTGATCAATGCTTGATGGCCGACATTCGAGTCGATAATTGCTGCAATTTCATCACGTGCGTTGGATGTTGGCGTGATGATTGCCCGACCATCTGACGCACAGACCCCGATGTTGGACCTGAGTTCTCCAAGGCCAATAACAAGGTGCAATAACAGTGACCGACAGACGCATGACGAGACCCCAAGATACGGCTTTGGCCCGATTCTATGGCCTCCCTGAGGTGCACAAAGACGGCGCTCCTCTCCGACCCATCGTGTCGCACAAAGGGCTCCAACGTACGGACTCGCTAAGTGGCTGTTCCGGCGTCTCAATTTCCTGTCCGCTGAGACAGACACCACGGTCTCTTCGTCAGCACAATTCCTGGAGAAACTCAAAGGGGTATGCATCCATTCAAATGAGATCATGGTATCTTTTGATGTTACATCCCTTTTTATTTCTATTCCCCAGGACCTGGCGATCGAGACAATCGAGCTGCTACTACAATGCAATGACGATGAAACGGAGAACCGTCCTGGACACGCCCACATCCTTCAGCTCCTGAAGCTGTCTCTCAGGACGTACTTCAAGTTCAACGGGACAATCTACGAACAGGTGAAGGGCACAACAATGGATTCGCCGATTTCGGGATTCATCGCCGAGGTGGTCCTGCAACGGTTAGAATCGCTGGTCTTCCAACACCACAGACCGAAATTCTGGACCAGGTATGTGGATGATACCTTCGCCGTCATCGAACAGGATCAGGTGTTGACATTCCAAGAACATCTGAACGCCGTCTTCCAGGACATTCAATTTACGACGGAGGAGGAAGAGAACAACCAGCTGGCCTTCCTGGATGTCCTCGTATGCCGCAAAGATTGTGGTGAACTAAAAAGCAAAGTGTTCAGGAAAGCGACAAATACGATGCAAGTACTAAACTTCTACAGTAACCACCCAATCAACCACAAACGCAGTTGTGTAAGGACGCCCTATCGGCGTGTCGAAACGCACTGCAAAGAGCCGGAAGACAAAATTGCCGAACTACAATACCTCCGACGGGTCTTCAAAGCCAACGGCTACCCGCGCAACTTCGTCCACCGGTGCATACGCAAAAGGGACAAAAGGTCTAACCGCACGGACACCAAATCTTGGCGGGCACTTTCGTATGCCAAGAACGTTTTGGAAGCTGTCAGCCGCCTTCTTGCACCACTTCGGGTTGGAGTGGCACACAGACCGGAGGCAATCATCAGGCGTCTGGTCATGAAACCGAAAGACCCTATGCCACGGCTAGAAAGGTCTGGAGTCGTTTATCGGATCTGGTGCAGTTGCGGACAAAGCAACTTCGTCGGAGAAACCGGAAGACAGCTCCGAACGAGAATGGCCGAACACGCTGTAGCGGTGCGGAGAAATGACGCCAGCTGTGAAGTTGCGGCTCATTCGACGAGATCCGGCCACACAGTTAAATTCGATGAGGCCGAAATTCTTGCAAGAGGTGACAACTGCGTGAGCCTGGAGCTACTGTAATCATGGTTTACTGCCCCCCAGTCCATCAACAAGTGCAACGATCTTCCCACTCCATACTGCGTGCTAAAACTTTGCCTAGGCGGAGTAACAAGCCATGCGGGGAGCGCAGATGTGAGCACTTTTCCCAACGCCGGGGTCGATGCGTCAAATGGCCGAGCAATCATCACGCCAACATCCAACGCACGTGATGAAATTTGCAGTAATTATCGACTCCAATGTCGGCCATCAAGCAATGATCACACCAAGTGCGACGATCCCGGATGAAGGGAGGAGCCGTGAATGTTCATAGGTATGCGGTAGCATGGCTATTGCATCCTATAAATACCGCAGCTCCTTGTGCAACAACCACCCCTTTCTGCTTTTTTGTCTCTGATGATGGATTTGAGTAGGAATCCGAAATTGCAGGCTAATAAAGCTCTGGTTCCGGCGGTCGTGCCTAATTCTTCAAAACTACTTCCTTGTACTCCTCTCTTTGCTTCTATTTGCAGTGTTGTCGCTATTGTAGTCGTATGTCACGTATTATCAGGTGACTGCGCATGTTACTGTCGAAATATATGCTTGGATAACATTCTTACGAAAAATTGGGCGAACTGGCGAATTTCGAATGGTCCAGGCCGGATTCAGGAAGACATTCAATCTCGGATAGTTTCCTGATGTCAAATGATATACGGAACTACAATCACCTTACCGCATATTCCGCTAGTACGCACAGTTATTATCGCGATTGACAGTTAAAAATTACAGTCAAAGCAAAAGAAGAGTGGGCGTTCACCGGGAGGGGTTTATTTGAAATCCGACGTTTCGGGTAGTTTACTCGTCTACCCATCTTCAGGGACTGGGAGGTCCTGTGCACAGCACTCCTTATTATGGCGCCCTTTGTCCAGTGCGTGATACGCCAATGCCGCCTGTGTGGCTGCATCCAACCCGCATGTCACCGTGACCTGAATCGCCCCCGTCGGCCGCGGTGATGACTGACGGCTCCGATTGTCCCGCGCCGTGACTGTCCCCCGCTTAGACGCCGTTGAAATTGTGGGCCGGGGCGGCGATCACACAGCAAGGCAAGTACAAGAAGCCTGGATGTCCACCGACCGCTCTGTCAACCGCCACATCAATTTGCCTCCACCTTATCTGACTTTACGAACCTTCTCAGCGGGGGACAGTCACGGCGCGGGACAATCGGAGCCGTCAGTCATCACCGCGGCCGACGGGGGCGATTCAGGTCACGGTGACATGCGGGTTGGATGCAGCCACGCAGGCGGCATTGGCGGATCACGCATTGGACAAAGGGCGCCATAATAAGGAGTGCTGTGCACAGGACCTCCCAATCCCTGAAGATGGGTAGACGAGTAAACTACCCGAAACGTCGGATTTCAAATAAACCCCTCCCGGTGAACGCCCACTCTTCTTTTGATATGCCACCTGGGAATCGGATTTTCACTACTATTGACAGTCAAAGCAATTACGTCAAATACTTGCAAAATACTTTTAGTCAACAGATTGTCACACACTGCCCAATGAGATAACGCGACGACCATCTAGTGCATGTCAATGCGGATGCGTCTGATTATAGCGTCGGCGGGGTAATCCTTCAGATGGGTCCGGACGACAACATCCTACCCTTTGATGCATCGCGCATGACGACTACCATATGACAGTTCAAACTACAGACAAATTGATTAAGGAGCATTGCTAGTAATCTTCACACGCCGAAATCCCGTCATTTAATTTACAACAATCATTTCGTTGTCCACGCTGGCTGCCAGGCACTACAGATATAGTAGGCAACATTATAGTTTACACCAATATCAGAGGACGAATAAAGAAAACAGTGTTACGGTCGTCCCGAAATATGACTTCACAATACAGTTTACTACAATTTGACAGTTTAAAGCTCTAAAGGCCTGAGCGTTATCAACAAAAGTCAGGACGATGTGGTGGTTGTTCTTGCACTATTCTACAATAAGGCGAAGAGTTAACATATCCGCTGACAGGTAGCAAATGTTGCTGGTAAGTCGAGTAAGGATACTGAGGTTAGATCTATGAGACACTTTATTAAACACAAAGAGCACATCTTGATGTTCGACAATTGTATAATACCTGGGAGTTGAGTTTTGATTCTAGTAACACATTACCGAACATCTTATGAACGTACCACCCTTTGGGCATTTCACAGCTTGCTCGAACATTGCCTTAAATTGACGTCGAAATGGAATCGTTTGTTTAAATCAGTCGTCCATGTGGATTTGAAACTATGCAACCGCCAAAGGTACTACTATGATACCACCAGTGGTAACGAATCCACGTAGTATATACAGTACCTGTGCTAACTCATGAAATGCCGAGGTCAAATTATAGTGGACAATGTAGTGTATTTTTTGTGTCGTTATTTGTGTTTATTTGGTTGAAATAAGGACGAAAAGACCGTTTTCTGAAGGAAAGTTTGATACGGATCTGTATATTAAATAGAAAACGGGCCGGATTAAGGCGAAATCGGAGGATTCCTGATATTCAAGCAGTTTCCTACGCTATTAAAGCTTTCGGATGGAAATTCTTTGTGCAACCTTATTAATCTGTTTATGAAGATTAATAAAAGGACAAAGTTTTTGATAAACTTTCGAACAAAAAGAAAAAAATTAAATTTCAATATCAACAAAATCAGGGAAACGCAGATAAATTATTTCTTATTGTGTTCAGGAAATAACGTGCGATTCTTTATCTAAAAATTCTATTTTACAAATTCGTGAAGTTTTATGTTTCAAAATACCGAAATAAAAAGTTTATCAGTGTGATTGTTTTACCAGACTGAAAATGCGTGTCGTAAACGAATATATATTGAGTTCGCGGTACATGCCGTCACTTTGCTCTGCCACGCCAAACGATAACTATGTCTAAACAATACTTATCCGAAGTTGACTTCCAGCGCATTCGACAATGAGCGGCGGAAGGAATCCCGCGTGAGTCGTTAGCTAGTATTTTCAATATTAGCAAGGTCACTCTGTGGCGCATTATTAATGATAAAACTGTTCCTAGAAATAAGATAGGGGGACCAAAACGGTCCACAAGTAAGCAAGACGACGATTTTATTCGCCGTACATTAAAAAAAGTTTCATTACATGCCCATAGAGGCCATTCAGCGGGAACATCTGCCGATGTTTTCTATGAACATCATTAGAAAAAGGATGAAGGAATTTGAACTGCAGCGGCGGAAGGCCATGATTAAGCCATATTTAAGTAGAAAACTAATTAGAGAACGGCTTTTATTTGCTAAGAATTATATTGAATACAGATCTTCATTTTGGAAGAGCATTTTCTTCTGCGATGAAGTTCTATTTTTAGACAAGCCTACGAAGTCGCTCCAAACCGTCATATGTGGAAAGAACTTCCCAAGACAACATACTACACCGACGGCAACATTCAAGAACTGTCGGCGGATGATGGTTTGGATGGCGATTAAATTCGGTGAGCGGCCTGTCTGGCGGTCAACATCCGACACCATCAACAGCAAGCTGTTCATTGCAATTGTCAAGGATGCTTTCGGCTACAACGGCATAATTCGGCGCCGAATGGATACTTTAATTTTGCAGGACAATGCACCTGTCCACCGCTCTAAAGAGGTACGAATTTGATGCCGCTTGCAAACATAATCTAACATTTTAGACAACAACCACGCTCTCCGCAATTGGCCTCCAATCCATTTTCATCCCGGCCAACAGTCCCGATCTGAATTCAATCGAAAATCTTTTTGGAATAGTCAAAAGAAATTGGCACAAAGCTAAGAAGATTATTTCAATGCAGGAAAAATTGGATTTCATACTCAATAATTACATTTCACAATCCATCATAGATAACCTTGTCATGTCTATGTCGGACAGACATTCTGCTGTTATTAATTCGAATGGACAATCTACAAAGTACTAATTTTTTGTATCTGTTTCTGTCCTTAATTATTTTTGGCCTTTTATGCGCCCTCCTCCTTTATACTTCCTCATACGTATCCTTTATTAACTTGGTTGTAATATAGGCGTTTCTCGAAAATGTGACTTTTGTCGAAAATTATTTATTTTTATCTCAGTAAATAATATTTTCTTAACCAAACTTTGCTTTATTTCTTTGGCACATCGTTTATTTTCCGCTATCAGACTTTGGGAGCCGTAGTGTTTACCGATTTTGCGTTAAGGGCGTTAACCTCTGTTAATTCGTGACATTTCATGAGTTAGCACAGGTACTGTATGGGCCGCGATGAACTACATTTAACCAAACGTGTCGAACTCGCTTCATACATCGTCAATATCATTAATGCTGTTTTGAGAACTTCTTTCAAACTAAGTTATCCGGCATAGACTTTTTGACGGCAAACAAGACAAAAAATAACACTTCACCCCGGTTAAAATTATTCCACAGGTGAGTAATCCAAAAATCCTATAACAGTATTTTTCATATCTAGCAGTATAACAGGATGCGTAGTTGGTATTTTGGAGATAACATCGAAATCAAAAAGTTAAACACGCTAATATGTGTTTATACATAAACTGTCAAAAGTGATTTTGGCGGTCACAAAACCGCTCAACAGTTTTAGACCCAATTGACATGCACAAAATCGATGCTCCCATTTAACCAACTACCGTAACATCGATGTCCCAGCTAAGAGTAAATGTGTTTCAAAAGGCACAATAAAGAGGAATGACCGTCTGTATCGCTTTGAAATTATAAATCTACAGATTTGGTTTATGTGGTGAAACGGTAAACTGAAAAATCCAACATGTACGTTCAGGAACGGGTAGGTAGCTCCCAACCTAATATGTGCTACAATTGAGAGTCTATTTCCGTAGGTTGCTAATTTACCATCAGTCGTCCACGGAATCCGCAAACAAACACAGACTCCAATGAAATGTAACGTGCGTTGAAATAGGAAACAATGTTATATCAAGTTTTCGAAGAGGCAGTAATCCGCGTCGGACCTGAAAAGCACGGATAAATTAAGGCGGTTAATGCGCCTTAAG